CATGGAAGTCCGTAGCCAGTTATTGGAAAAGGAACTGACGGTGTTTGCAGGATACATTTCCCAGGACAAGCTGCTGGGTGTCACCTGGGGCCATCATACACAGGAGAAGTGACAGGAATGATCAGTTCACTCTGTGCTGCTTCAGTTTGTTTGTTGTTCCAGAGGGGTGTATCTGTATGTTGGTCAGTGCCAAGTCACCAGGGACCAATTCTCCATGGAACAGGATGGGTGCCCAGAAGAGAACCTCATCCCAGGACTGCCACAGCTCCAAGGCAGTATGTTTGAATTGTGGGTTTGTTTGAGATCGTTTGTGAAGAGAAGAGAAAAAGATGTACAAAACAAACCAATCAAGGGCTGTGCTATCCCAGTTTTCCCTTCTGGAAACACCTCCTTTCCTCGTGTTAGATTTACCTGTTCATTTTAGGTCAATGTTTAAATGTACAACACTTTGAACATGTGATTTGGTTACAAAAAGTATTTGTCTGTGACTGAAGAGGTTGCTCAGCGGTTGGCATGTGCTCAGAGCTGTTTCAGAGGGATTGGATCAGCCAAAAAAGAGCTGAAGGACAGGCTGCAGGATGTCACAGGAGCCACATCTGTGTTTTACCAGAGTCCTGAGCATTTTCTTCTGTAATTAAGCAGTTGAGATTGGTCAGTGGAGCTTTATCTGCTTTGTTTGACCCCTGTGTTTCCCCCTCTGCTCTCCGGGAGCACACGGATTGCTGGCACTGTGTCTGGTCCCTTTGGCTGAGAAAGAAGATCCTGAGGTTTTAGTCTCTGTAAATCAAGCCTATGGGGGGGGTATCAGAGCACAGTTTGTGGGCACAGGTGAGGATTTAGGGAGAGGAACCTGCCAGGCACAGCCCCACATCCACACACGTTCTCTCAGCCACTTTTACATTGTGAGTGTGCACAGAGACACAAAAATCACACACCCAACACTTAATGCACAGTTTTAGCTGAATGTCTCCTCTGGCAGGGCCTTACTGGTGCTTTGTGCTTAATTAGCAAGTTGTTATTAATTGCCTCCTCACTGCCTGATCTTTCAGCGAGCCAAATGCTTTGCTCTTATTTTAACACAAATCTAGTTCAAGAAGCAATTCCAGGCTGGCAGTTCTGAAGTGGATATTGAATCTTCAATCATTTATTATAATTACCTCTAATCACTGACAGGGTGGTTGCTTCCCATGTAGTTTTAAGATAAAATAAGGCCTGAGCAGTTAAACATTGACAGGTTTTTCACTCGAAGTGCCAAGTCTGGGCAGCTCTGTCAGTGGACATTCCCCTCATTTGGATAAGTTGCAACTTTGCAACGTTTTTTTTTTTTTTTTAAGTTTCTATTGAGATTTTGATTTAGGATCTAATTTTTAAAAGGAAAACGTGTCTGAACAGTTTTTTATTCCTGATTTCTTGTGCCCCTGCTTGGCAAACTGTTTGGTTCCTTTTCTAGGGGCATGGCATGAGAGGAGTGCAGGGAGCACTGTCTGAATGGGAGAAGCAGGAACAAGGAGAGGGAATTGCTTGGCATGCTCTGAGCTGTAGGTGGAAGATGCAAAGAGGAAATACTGGTCACTGGTGACTTCTCATTAGTGCAAAATTGACTTTCAAGGAGTCAGTGGGTTTTGTGGTCCAGAACACTGGGAGCAGCTCTGTTCTTTAGAAGCTAAAAGGAAACAGCACTGAGATGCTGTGTTTTTTCAAGGGTTTTGTTTTAATTTGGGCTTAGTTAGTCTTTTGGGGCAGATTGTGAGCCCTTTGTGTTTGTGCTCAGCCCAGTTATGCCAGTTGTGGTGCCCTGTGCAGGGAGTCTGTGCCCACTGCTCCAGGATGAGCAAGAGGGTCAGGGTTGGAAATGGGATAAATGTGTTTAGATACAAAGAAAAATACAGCAGGGGGCAAACTCCTGTAAAAGGGAACTTGTAAAATTCTCTAGTGGAGTGGGGGGCTCAGAGGGGTTACACAGGAGGAGAGGCTTTTCCTCTCACATTCTGTATAGGAATGTAAATATGCACTGCCTGTATATTCTAGGATTATATATATGTATATAGAGGAGTCATATCTATTATATATAAATAACTAGACACATGCATAGAATACTGTTATATTTACATTTTTATAAACATGAAATAATATTCCTTTTCCTTAGTAGGAGGTTTTTGTAGTCACTCATGAGTAGCTGTCTCAGCACCTCTCAGTCCTGTATGTGTGGCCCTGTTGGTAACGTGACTCCAGAATTTGCTTTGCTTGTGAATGTCACTGAAATCTGTGGGTTTGAACAGCTGTGGCCACTTTTGTATTTTTATATCTTTTTATTAATACTTGCAGATATGGGTTAGAGTAGAACTGACAAGCAGGTGGAGGCCTGTCTGAGGATGGGCTGTGGAAGCGCAGTGGCAGCACAGGCTTCCTGCATCCCTGAGCTCCTGTCTGGCTTCCTTTGAGCCCCTGCAGGACTTTTCCCATTCCCAATCTCCCAGCAGCTCGTGCAGACAGGGAATGGTGGTGGCTGTGCTGTGGAGGAGCTGGGCTCACACCAGTCAGATATGTTGGTCCTTGTTGTGTAGCAAAGGGGCCCTGTTGCTCAGCTGGCTGTGTTGCGTCAGGGGGGAGAAGCTTCCTCTGCCATTCCTCTTTATTCCCATAGGGGCAGGAGTCTGTAAAGTAATTTTTATCTGAATTGTTATTGCAACAGTCAACTTCAAGAGAACTCCTTGAAAGCCAGTGAAGCTCCCCTTGGCTTTTGACCATGAGGGACCTGTTGTCTCGTGCTGATTCCTTACAGGTTGTGTGAGGAATTAAACCCTAAGAATCATAGAACCATAGAATATGCTGAGTTGGAAGGGACCCTCAGGGATCATCCAGCCCAAATCCTGGCCTTGCACAGGACACCCCAGCAATTCCACCCTGTCCTGAGAGCATTGTCCAAACGCTCCTTGAGCTCTGGCAGCCTTGGGGCCGTGACCACTGCCCTGGGGAGCCTCTTCAGTGCCTGACCACCCTCTGGAGGAAGAACCTTTCCCTGTTATCCAGCCTCACCCTCCCCTGACACAGCTTCATGCTATAAAATGCAGGTCATAAAATCAATGGTGTGTGTTGTGTCCACCATGACTTTTCATGCCAAATCCAGCGTGTTCTACTGGAATTTGACATGGGGTGGATCAGGCATTGTTGTTGTGGCACAGGGTTCATCAGATCACCTCCAGCACACTGCCAGCCAGTGTTCTTATTTCTTCTCTTGGAGTTTGCAGGGCTGATCTCTGCCCTTTCCTTTTTGCTGTTACAGTTCATTAAATTGCCAGGTAACATTCCCTGGATGAGGATGGGGTGAGGAATCCGAGGTTCAGGTTCCAAGGCTCCCTTACCCAGCAGCCACTGGGTGGCATTCCAGCTGCATGCTTTGCTCCAGGCTTGGGATTAGGAAGGGTCCTGTGTTCAGGCAACAGGTAAATGGCCTTGGCTTGGTTTTGGCCCCTGGAGCTGCTCCACTGGGAGCCAGGAATGGCCTGACCTGAATGTCCTCGGGCAGGAGCTGTTTGGGGTAACAGTTCCTGGAGGGAAGTTTGTTTGAAAGTGGTTCTTTGAGTGTTGCAGAACTGGGATCACATTCCAGTGTCCTTAGCAGCCTGCAGTATTCCTGAAGCTCTTTTATTCTGGATAAAACAAGGTGATTTGAATTATTTCCATCTGAGCTGATGCTGAGTAAACTCCAACCCCTTCCGAGCAGAGCTCCAACCTCTGTTCCTGGCTGCACCTCTGGTGGCCTCCTCACCTGTCTGCAGGTGTTCCAGGTGTTCTGGGTGCACCGTCCAGCACTGAGCTGCCTCTTCTGTGTCCTGCAATGTGAAAGTAGCACCAGATACTCCTTTGTGCAGTTCTGTGTATATGGCTTTCGTAGGTGGGGTTTTCCAAGCACTGATTCCCGGTGTTTTCAGTTTGTCTCTGAGGGGATATTTTATTTGCATCTATGTTTTTAGCTCTCCTGTGATAACTTGTTGAATATTAAAAAAAAAAAAAAATATTTTGCTTCTATTGGGACATTTGTATACTCGCAACTATATTTCTGTAAACAGCTGCAGTCGAGAATAAAACGATGAAAGTTTTCATTTTGCTGTGTAAAGTCTTGTGGTGGTTTTTCCAAGGGCATCTTCCCTCTGCTGGGAGGAAGCTCTGCTCACCAGTGTGGAATGGTCCAGCTGGGAACCATCTGGTGCTGGTCAGGAGCTGTGTCCTGCTGCAGCTGTTGTGTAAGAAAAGGCACTTTGGAATCACATCCCAGCGTTTTGCATTGACTTTGTCATGTGGAGCCTCCCAGTAACCCCTGGGGGGCTGCCCAAACCATCCTGCAAATTGTAACCAAAGGAATTGCTTCCATAGTCTGGGATTCCATTGCTGAGGGATGTGGGGAGATGCAGACTCTCCCTTAGGGTCGTTGGGGCTGTTCTGCCCCACGGAGGTGAAGCAAGTCCAAAGCTAAGATGATGGGAGTTGCCACCCCCCCAGCAGGATTTTGGGGGGTGTTACCTCATTCCCTTGATTTGCATCTTAGTACCAACACACTAAGAATGACCTGGGGCTGGGGAGGCCCAGCTGTGTCCCCCCTTCCTGCTCCCACTCTGCAACCCATGACCTCTCCAGGACCAGGGACTGCAGCAGGTGTTGGGAATTATATAATTTTGAACAATTTCAGCAGGGATAAGAAGAAACTGCAGCAAGAGCTGGGCAGACTGCTTGATTGTGAAAGATTTCAGCAGATTGTGAAAGCTTTCCCCCCGGGGCCTCCCCCTTCAGCCCTGGGCATCACCCAGTGCAGGGTGAAACACAAACCTCTGCCACTGGCTTTTGTCTTGCTGGAGCTCCTTATCCTCCCCCTGGCTAATGCCACTGTGGGGCCATGGGACAAAACAGCCTGAGAAATCCTCCCTCCCTCCCTCCCTCCCCTGTTCTCAGGGCTCAGAGAAAGGCTCACCCTGGCACAGGCAGCTACAGAAACAAGACTGAGCCACGGTGCTAAAGAGTTTTGTGTTTATTAGGACACAACTGTTGCCTGGGGCTGAGCAGGGAAGGCACCACCTCACCCACCTCCACCCTGGTGGGGGCCTCCCCAAACCAAAGAGTTGAAGCCGCTCTGGGCACCAGCAAAGCAGGGGAGGAACAGCCCAGCCTGTTCCCAGGTCTGGGAGAGGCCTCACCCTCCCAGAGCCACCACAACACCTGGGCAGGCGGGTCCTGCAGGTGGGGGCCACATCCTGCCCCTCACCTCTTCTTCCCAAACCTCCTGGTGACGGCATTGGGGTTGAGGCGGCGCCGGCCGGCGCCCAGCGTGGTGTCGCGGATGTGCAGGTTGGCGGCCCGGCTGTGCACGTCGTGCTCGGCGAACGGGGACACCCCGGCCAGGTAGTCGGGGTCGAACACGTTGGTTTTCTGCCGGGCCTTGCGGGAGAGCCGCTGCTGCGGGAACCGCTGGTCCTCCACCAGGTGCGGGTTGTTGGCGTGTTTCCCGCCCTGCGGCGCTGGCAGCGGGTACTGCCGGGGGACAGGGGGTCAACTGTGGGTCATGGGGGCTCGGAGGGGACCACAGGCCTCTGGAGAACTGAGCAGGGAAGCCCTAAAGCCCTGGGGTCAAGGGGAACACCTAGAGGATGTTCACAGTTTTGCTTTGATTCCCTCCAACCTGCCGGCCACAGGCCGGACTCCCATTCCCGGGGGCCCAGTGGAGGAATTTCTTCATGGAAAGGGTAGTCAGGGACTGGAAGGGGCTGCCCAGGGAGGTGGTGGAGTCCCCATCCCTGGAGGTGTCCAAGGAACGACTGGATGTGGCACTCAGTGCTCTGGGCTGGGTTGACAAGCTGGGGATCGGGCACAGGTTGGGCTCGATGATACTGGAGGTCTTTTCCAGTCTAGATGATTCCATGATTCTGTCTGGGTACTCACCCTGAGCCCACGGGGGTTCAGCACCTTGGGGTTGCGGGAGAAATGCATGTGGAGGCTCCCGTCGTCACTGACACTCACGGCGACCTTCTTCAGGGTCTTGTTACCACAGTGGGGACAGAAAACCTTGGTCATGTCCGAGGTGGTCCTGCAAGGCAGGGAGAGGGGGGGTTCCCTGGGCCATGGAACACGGGCTCAGCCCGGGAGCAGGACCCCCCAGCCCCCTCCCCACGCTCCCACACCTGAAGCAGCCGTGGCAGCGCAGGATGTAGCTCCGGGCCTGGCGGATCAGCCTCCCGTTCACTGCCAGCACGTGGAGCCCCATCTGCAGCAGCACGTTCTGCAAGGGGAGGAACAAAGCGGGACACTGAGCTGGGACTGGGGGGAGCATCACCTGGGCTCTGCTAACCCGGGCTGGGAGAGGCTCATGGCAGAGACCCCGACAGAAGTGACACCCAGAGGAGCCTCTGGGA